TCCACTGCATGAAGGTTTCAGATAAAGCATTTTTTAAATCATAATTTATACATCTATAAACGATATAAATACCATGTTTACTCTAGATCGGGGTAACGCCATAATCAGCTTTCAAGCAGTCTGAATAATTTAATACATATGAAAATCAGACCTAAACTAAATATATATATATATATATATATATATATATATATATATATATATATATATATATATATATATAAATATAAAAGGTTGATCGTCATATTATAATAGGGAGCGCTGGATGAATTTGACTACATTCACGATATTTGAACTCGTTTAAATATCATTTTCCTGCAAAGCAAATAAATAAAATAAACAAATATATCAAAAAAAATTAATTAAAAAACAACAACAACAACAACAACAACAACGTCTTTCATTAACCTTTAAAGTCGTAAATACGCAACACGATGGATTAATAACACAAACGTTTTGGGCTCCTCGGCCAAAAGTTCAACTACTTACAAGTTACTTGATTTAAAGAAGTAGCAATTATAATAATAATAGTAATCAGATTATTATTAGACACTTATCTGCATATAAACTCTGATTATGGTAATAATCTGAAGAGTGGTGGGATTATTTTGTCAACACACTCAGTAGTACACCTCACACTCTCAGAGTGATTATATATGATGGAGGGGTTAAAGCTGCGCTCCTCTTACCCCGCGGCATCATGGGAGACGGCTGGTTGAGCAGCGTGGCCAGGCCATGGTAAATAGCGCCCTGTTTGGCCACCTCCAGAGTCACCACCGCGCCTGTATGAGTCATCAGCTCCGCCGCCCTGAACGAACACGAAAACGTCTCAGGACAAAAACACCGCACGTATTAAATTCGTCCTGTCCGAGTGAGTAAGAGACAGAAGCAATCCCAATCCCAGTAGAGATCACTTCTTTTAAAAACCAAAAAAAAAAACTTCACTCTTTACTCCTCACTTCGGGACAAAAACGTCAATACGCATCAAAACGACCGACGAAACCACACTGGCGTCGAGTGTCACATTCCTCAGATTTAGAACTTCAAAAACAATTATAAAGGCGTAAACAGCATCTGCTTTTAATCTGACATGAATCATCTGTTTCAAAGTTCAATGACCTCGACTTGTTTTTTTTTTTTTCCCTCTTCACATAATTACAACTGTGACGGGACAAAACTAGATTTTATTGACAGGCAAATGAGTATTTTACTAAAAACTGAATAGCTCTGGTTTTGAAATGTACTGGTCTCTCGCAGAAATAAAGGAACAGCAGAGCTGAAGCTAAATTTGGGAAAGAGTTAGGAAAAAAATGAACTTTTCCACAATTATTTGAGATGCACCTGTACACACACTCCATTTTATACAACACACACATTTATGTCTCTTTATATTCATGCTACACTACGTTGCAGCTGAATTCTCGATTCTGATTGGCCAGGAGGTGGCGTTAAGTTTCTATAATCATAGGTTTACATTAATGCGCTCGTTCGGATAAGTGATCGTTTCTATAGCAACAGCTTACACAGATTTGTATAATAAAGCGATTCTAAAACGCGTGTAATGATTGATTGTAATCCGTGGAAGGAGTCTCCAGTTCCGGCGCTTTGCAACACTGTAAACGTAGAAGTTTTCGGACATCTTCAGGACAGTGGAGTGTACGCTTCGTGGCTTCTCGGTAACGTGAACCTGTTTCACGGACATCCCGTGACATTGAACGTAACTATAAAGGGATCAAACGTAGGACGAACATAAACGTAATCATCATGGTCCGATTTCTGGGGGAATAAGAGGAGGAATAAAAGACTTCAGGATGTGATGTAACTGAAAAACAATCCTCTTCAAGGTCGTCTCATTACACCGCCCATTATTACAGTAGGTTGATTGTTTTCCTAGAACAGTGTGGCCCTTAGTGTTTTATTCCTTACTTATCCACCGGACAAACAGGATATTACATGCTTAGCTTGAACTCTCCTTCAGAAATCCAATAAAAAAACAAAAACAAAAAGAAAAGAAAAGCACTACAGGTTATGAAAGTACCTCTCCTGAGAGAGTCCGACTAGACTTCTCCCGTCCACGCTGAGCAACTGATCTCCGGCAGCCAGACGGCCGTCCTGAAACACACACACACACACACACACACACACGAAATGTTATTTTACCTACATGACTTAAACCCATCATCATTGCCTGCACTGAGCTCATGCTTTGTATATTTATGTCCTCACCATGTCTGCAGCTCCTCCTTTGACGACAGACTTGATATAAATCCCAAGTTTCTCCTGTCCAGCACCCTGTTAACACACACACACACACACACACACACACACACACTTAAAAAAGGAAGGCGAAGAATTTCCCCCACATTCCCATTTCCATAATGGACTCCAGTGTGAAACTCTATCCACCCTAATCTCCAGAAAGACACCAGGACGACTAGGGGAGCCCAGATTATTGGGGGAGAAGCCAAACAGGCTGGCGGTGAAATAAAGCCAGACGTGAATGAGATCAATTTACACCAGATGAAAGCGAGCTTTGTGGTGCAGTCATGGAGATTAACCGTTCGAGAAAAAAAAAAAAAAAAAAAAAAACCCCAAAAAACATCCCCATAAAAGACTAATTATTCGGCTCGGGTTCAGAGGTCGCCGCTGTGCGTTCAGACTTCACAGCGCTACGCCGTTCTCCCTTCCCTCACGTCTCACAACGAGCTCCTTCAGACGGCCCGGGTGACGCCATTTCCTGCCCAGAAGAGCGGCGGTATTGTAACATCATGCCTCAGAATCTTACGAGGCTGCACTTAGCGTTTTACAACTCCCTTTTGTTATGTCCGTTATCCCAAAAAGCCTGGATTCGGCGTTCCAAGAAGACGCCACGTGAATCCCCCTGCATGCTGCCAGAGCGTCCGTTTGTGCAGAAGCGTTAGAAAGGCGGCGAGGTTTCATATACGCTTCATATCCACACCTGAACAGACGCAGCTCTGACACGGCACTGGTGTGATCGATGTAACCAGCACAGAGAGCGCAAATAGTGCGTTTATTTAGTTATTTATTTATTTTGTTCTGAGTGTGAGCCTTTGCCCCTCACAAGACCTTCACACACACACACACACACACACACACACTCACTATACAATACAATAGTAATAGCTCTGTTATACGCTCATTAGCTCGACTTCTCGTCTGGGTCTACTAGGCTTCGTACCAACTTTGTTCTCAGACTAGCAAAGCAGACTAGCCTCGTGCGCTAGTACAGCTAAAAGGTCACATTTACCAACAAATGTCACCGCAAAAAGACCGCACGAAACGATTCAAACAAATCCCAAAAGACAAAATGCCGCAAAATCAAGCATTTTTGGCCAAAACAATCACGAAAAAAAAAAAAAACCCTCTGTGAAATCCTGTATGGACTGATGTGTAGTGAAGAAGTATTAAATACAATCTATTTTCCATCTCGAGCCCACATCCGTGCAGCACGACGAGCAGCGCATTACAAGGCATGTGAGGTGAACCTGCCGTTTCGGAGCATCTTCTATGAAGCAGGAGATGGAGCTGAATAGATGGAGATGAATAGATGGAGATGAATAGCTTCCATCTGGACGTTCTCCAAACACACGGTGCTGCCTGGAGGCCCGGGACTCGCTGGAACTCATTTTAACGGCGAAGAGGCGTCAATTGAGTGAGAAACTGCCGTTTATTGTTTCAACGAGTAAGCTACTGCACGGGATAACGGAGCGCGGCCGATGAGCACGGCAGATGTTATTGGAACCTGAAGGAAGAAGGCGAGGAGCGGACCGCGGGCCGAGACGGGAAACAGAATCCGCCTGGGAATCGCTCGCAATTTCACTCAATCAGGACCACCGACTAATCTGCCCACCCACAGCCTCCGACCATCACAGGAATCCACACAGCTCCGACCACACTGCAGAAAAATTCCGGGCGTAAAGCCGTGTATATATGTATGTATGTATGGAATATACGATTTGCGATCGAGCCAGAAGGAATCTGAGCACTGGAGCACACACACACACACACACACACACACACACACACACACGCCATCACGTCACGGTCCCACGTTCAGCACTAAGAAGCGATTCGTTTCCTTTTGTGCCTCGAATTTGTCCGCAGGTAGACATTCGACACCTGCTCTCCAGCCGAGCGGCTCACACGCTAACGGCTAAAGAGCTGAAGGGTGCGCGTGAGAACCAGTTTCGCAACCACTGCAGAGAAAAGAGAAAAGCCACAGACGGAGAGACGCTCCAGAGAAGTCGGTGGTACAGACGGAGAGACGCTCCAGAGAAGTCGGTGGTACAGACGGAGAGACGCTCCAGAGAAGTCGGTGGTACAGACGGAGAGACGCTCCATGACACGACACCACGACTCGAACCTTCAGCTTACTCCACCGATCCTACACGAAATCTATTTTTACACCTCTGTTGAATTCTCAATTCCGATTGGTCAGAAGTTGCTCAGATACACATTATAATTCTATTATACATCACGTTCGTGCGCTCGATCCGATACGTTATCATTTCTATAGTAACAATTTACACAGGGTCTTTATTTACAGTATCGTGGATGTACGCGTAAACAACTTGAAAAACGTGTCTAAGTGTAGAAATTGCGATTTTTTTAATAAGGATGTTCTAGACGTTTTTTTTTTTTTTTTTAACTTTTAAATGAAAGGGAATCTCCAGTGTCAGCACTTTGTAACAGCAAGTTTTCCGACATGGGAAAGCCTTCAGGACAGAGGAGGTGACACTTTCTGGTTTCTCTGTAACATGACACGGATGGTTTTAAAAAAATTTTTGTATTAACTTCAAGAGAGAGAAAAACTGGTGGCTGAGGGAACGACTTTATAGACTTTATGTTATAACACAGATAATGACGAACACTCACGGAAGTTTCACATCAACGTAGCTATAAACGGATAAAATGAATGATGTGTCACTCTTTAATTCATTAAAAAAAAAAAAAAGAATAAGAAAAACAACTCTGCCCCACGCACGGTGGCTTAGTGGTTAGTACGTTCGCCTCACACCTCCAGGGTGCAGGGTTCGATTCCCGCCGGGGCCGTGTGTGTGCGGAGTTTGCATGTTCTCCCCGTGCTACGGGGGTTTCCTCCGGGTACTCCGGTTTCCTCCCCCAGTCCAGAGACATGCACGGTAGTCTGATTGGTAGGTTGGTAAAGTGTCCGTAGTGTGTGAATGGGTGTGTGAGTGTGTATGTGATTGTGCCCTGTGATGGACTGGCACCCTGTCCACGGTGTACCCCGCCTTGTACCCCATGCTCCCTGGGATAGGCTCCAGGTTCCCCCGTGACCCTGAAGAAGGAATAAGCGGTTGAAGATGGATGGATGGAACTCTGCCCCATCATTTTTCTTCTATAACTGCAGCCCCAAGTGTTTAATTCCTTCATTCCGGCTGTTTTACCTATTTCACGTCTGCTACATCAACGATAGTAAATACACTGTATGACCACCCACAAAGTTTTCCTTTGCACCAATAATAACGTTCCATTTCCCAAAACAAAATAAGACGGTAAATTGACGCTCGCGGTAATTTACAAGAAACCTGCTTCAGTTTCCCAACAGGATGAGGTGAGGTTTCGAGCAGAGGAGGTTCACGGGTGATTAACGAGAGGGTAGATGAGAGCATTCTCGCTCGACTTGGAAGCAGTTCAAGCATGTCTTTGGCAGGTGGTTTCATATCTGGGCAACAAATCTCAGCGAGAAGGCACGAGGCTTCAACTTACCGAAGGCAGCACTCCATCAAAGTCACGACGTTTATAAATCAATCTCAAACACTCGGAAGTCTGCGACGCTGCTAATATGGCTTTCTCCTCAGCTTATAGAGCAGCCATGGTGGGCCGAGTCCTGGGTAAGGGGTGGAACAAGCCATGCAGTTTCTGTGAGGGAGTTTACTTGAACTAATGATGAAGCTAATACGTAGGTGTGAGATGAATGAATCGAACTTCATTCGCAGATTTGGTCCTAATGTATGTTTCAAACTGAGCTCTCTTAACATGCAGAGAAAGAATTACAGAGGACACGACGCTAAAGCATGCCGAGGCAAGTCCGAGTGTGGACGTAAACACACACGGGTTGACTTAAGCTTTTATAAACACAGTCTTTAATCTAAATAGGGCCTAGAGGCGAAAAAGCTGACTCTAGTGTGCAATTAAGAGTCAACACAGTTTTAATAAAATTTCAAAACAACCAATGAGGGCTAGTTTTTTTCCTAAACAAGTGTTCGAGTAAACAGTCAAAGAGCATTTGGTAATAGTTTATTTGGACGATGCTGAGTAGACAGTCACCTCATCCCCATACCCCTCATAACTTCAACTTCAGCTCATGCGTACTCTATTGGTGAGGAGAATATTGGTTTCAGTGGATATCCGCTTACACTATATGGCCATTACGTTGGTGGACACCTGACCATCACACCCATATGTGCTTCCTTCCCAAACTGGTGCCACTAAATTGTGAGCACACAACCGTATAGCATGTCTTTGTCGGCTGTAGCATTACAGTTTCCCTTCAGTGGAAACAAGCAAATACAATGCACATTAAACTTGAAAAGCTGCCATGAAAATGAGATTTGTCCTCCACAGATCCCTGACCTCAACACCACTGAACACACTACAGACAATATAGAGATGCCAATCTATTTGGACTCGGGAGAATATCAGAGTATCCGGAGGTAACCCGGAGAAACGTGGCGAACAAGCAAACTCGGGAATCAAACAGCGTGCACTGGTAGCTTAACTAGTGCAGTTAGCTTACGCATCATTTGTACTCTAGAGTGCATCCACATTTATCACCTTCCCGTTTATTGGGTATTACGTCCCGGATTTTTGTAAATGGTTCAGCAATTTCTCGCCTGCTGGACCTGGAAGCATTCGCAGATCTATGTGAAGTGTCATCTCATTAGTTATAAGCAACAGAAACATCTCGCAGCCAGAGCACATATCACATCTACCTGCTGCCTGGTGTCCACGCGATGCAGATGAAGCACTAGAGACCCTGAGGTGGGTGGGTTGCTCTTTTGCGAACAGCGCAGCCTTAACACCCGAACAGAATCCAGAGAATCGAGACCCCACCCCGACACTTCCTGTCTGAGGAAGAACTCTGCAACCTGTCGCAGGAAATTGGAAACTGATGTTGGTTCCTTTTCTGTTCCATCACTGCTCTGAGGCTCCGTTTTCCATCTGCCTCGAGACACATCGACTTCCTGTTTGGGATTTACGATGGCCAGAAGCATTCGGATTTAAACCTGGGCTCCTCAGGGACCTACACAGGTCAACTGAGGTTCTCGTACCTTTTTGTCGAAGAGCACAAAATCTGACTCGTTGTACATGCGGTACGGCGAGTCCTCGCTGAACAGAGATATCCATCGTTCCTTTGAAAGCCACCTACATCTTGTTTGACAAAAAAAAAAATGACAGAAAAAAAAAAAAAAAAAAAAAAAAAGCGGAAAAAAAAAAAAAAAAAAAAAAAAAAATTCTAACTCCTGAATATCTGTTGAAGGAGTCTTTTAGCTAGATCGAGAGCGAGGGGACAGACGAAGAGGGGGGGGGGGGACATTTGGTGCTCTCCTGATGCCAGGTGCAAACTGTCATCACCAGAACAAGAGGCTTCTGGTAATGAGCTTCTTGCAGCCAGACACATTCATCACATCTGAGAGGCTTTACTGATGGAGACTGTGGGCTGCTGGCTTGCGTTAAGAGAGACCAAACGACGTCTGTCATGCATCACAGGACTCGGGAGAGTGTGGTGGGGACAGGCAGGCATCCGTCTTTCCATTAAAACTACCAACAAGAGCAAAGCAGGACCTCGTCATTTTTATATTCTGGACCTCCGTGCATCGGACGATTAACTCGCTGAGAACTTTTCCAAAATACCAAATAACATTCTATACCGCCTATTACTGTTGACCAGCTGCTCATGCGGGTAATTCTCATATTTGCGGGTCAGGAAGGGATGATGACGTGTGTGGTATTTATTAGCACTTCCTTAAGAAAATGTATCCGCGAACATCTGTTGTTGTAAACAGATTACGTTTCTACCTCTGATGCCACTACTGGGTAAGCCTGTCGATATTTTTAATTGCCAGGGGTGGACAAATGGGTAGCTTGGAACAATCAGACTTTGTGAACAAATAGGTTCAACAACAGGAAAGAGGAGGGACTGGATGGAGCGCTCATCAACTGAAGGGTACAGTACGTTCTGCCACTGAGGACGACCCCAAGCAGAGCAGCCTGGAGACTGCTGAGGACAGTACCGCTTGAAGTACCATGGAAATGGATTTGGACCTCAATTCCACATGGACAATCTCACTGTGGTTGCTGGGACTACGACTACAGTTGCTGCGATGGCCTTGGGACTGCAATGACCACATGCAGTTTTACACCCTTTAGAGAACAGTGGACTAGTTCAACAATCAGACTTCATATAAAAACCATAATGAACTTCCCTTTACGTTCACACTATCCGTCGTTCCACAGATGAGGACGGGTTCCCTTCCGAGTCTGGTTCCTCTCAAGGTTTCTTCCTCGTGTCATCTTCGGGAGCTTTCCCTCACCACCGGCTCACTCAATAGGGATAAATTCACACACTTAAAATCTTTGTCCTGTGGTTTATGTTCCTGTAACGCTGCTTTGAGACAACGTCCATTGTTAAACGCACTACTACAAATCAAACTGAATTGAACCGAGGGAAGAATCTCCTACGGTTCCTTACTGACTTCTGCGCAAAAGACAACACGTGACGTTAAAGTGCTTCACAATGGTGCGACGCCCCCTGCTGCTGTAACTATATTACGAGCGATTCATCTCGAACCCCTCTACCCGCCTCACTACACGACGGACATAGACGACCGTGGTTTGGGGAAACATCGAGAAAGATTTCACCGCAAAGCTGTCACACGAAACAAGTCTCGTCATGGCTGATCATTGAGAGAAAATAAAGGCGCCCGGATAGCGTCTTCCACTTGTAAAGCTACGACTGAAAGTCGAAATGCTCCCGCGCTGAGCTACCTAACTAGCTCGCCATATGTTATTGTGTTACCGTTACCACTTTAACCGCTGTTAATACGGTTTCCTGGCAACCAAAACTCAGGGCTGGGGCTCGATCGTGGGCTTCGCGAACAAAGCCCTAAATATAACAAATGATATCTTTAACTTGCAGAGCATTCTGCACAAAAACGTTTGAGAAGGAAGGCACGGTCGAGTTTGAGGTGCTGCATCTAACAGCTGTTAAAAGATCAGGAAGAGTGTGAGAAGAGAAATCCAATCCGGAAGACAAGAGCAGGGCAGGAGATACCGAGGAGACTAATTACAGATGTGTGTTGAGCTGAACAGGACAGCCGTCTGAAATAAAATTCCACTCGGGTGAATCATCGTGAAGCGACGCACACGCAGCGAGCATCTGGAGAGGGTTCGTGATTACACCGATCCCGTGACTCCGCGTACAGCCAGGAGAGCAGAGAAATGGCAGTCCAGGTGCCCGTGCGGTTTCCTAGGCTCTCGTCTCTCGTTTTCTCCGAGTGTTCAGGAAGTGCAGAAATCGCCGATGAAGCCATATCCTGCTATTGTTAGTGCGGTGTACAAAAGGGGACAGGAGACGGAGAAACCTACCGAGAGGGAAGTCACGGTGCTATTGTGCTGCACTTTGTACAAACAAACAGGGAAAAGAAAAAAGAAAAAAAAACGAGTCCAAAGAGCGTTCGGAGGAGGCAGAGGTGTGGATCAACTGGGAAGAAGATTTCCAAGCAGGAGTTCTTAGGAGTGATCTCGTCCGCACGTTCATCCGACCATCTTCTGACAGGAGAGGCTGTGTGTGTGTGTGTGTGTGTGTGTGTGTGTGTGTGGTCACAGGATTTCCCTCTGCTGTTCCATAAACTGGTCTCATAGGGCCATTATCTCACACACACACACACACACACACACACCAGTCTTGAAGGCTCCAACACACACACAGGCACGAATGCACACACACACACACACACACACACACACACACACACACACAGACACACACCTGACATTCCTATATAATACATAACTAATGAATTATA